TATATGTATTTCAACTTCTGACATATTATATGTATATGTGGTTTACAATATACCATTGATACAATGGATAACACTACATTGTTAACATTAATAAAATTGACATGTATTTCATTCTGTTTATATATATATATTATAATGTACTAAGGCTCCTTAACGCAGCAGCCCAGGTTTGATTCCAGCCTGGGGCCCTTGCATGTTGTCCCCTTTTTCTTTCCCCATTACCTGTCTCACTTCAGCTGTCGCTGTTAAATAAATGCATAAAATAGTCTGAAAAATACAAATAAAAAAAGAAATGAGATAGTCAGACCTATTTCTTGTGGGTGATGTATGAACAGTAAGAACAGAAGTCTCATTTCCTTCATCACTTATTGAGTCCAGGACAGATGTAAGCAAGTTTTTGTGCTCCACATTCAAGCAGCAAGGTAAATGACACTCAGACAAGAGAAATGTTGTCAATTCGAGATGTACCACGCAGCCTCTCAAATTTAGTGGCTTTGTCCAATTTTTCACGACAATTAGAAGACTGGGAAACAAGTTTTGAAATGTCAGCAGCTTAAGGGCGTGAGCACCTAATGAAGCAAGGCCCGGAAGTTCCAGGCTAGTGCTCTGAGCTGCATGCAGCCTCACACACATCAGCAAATCAGTGGGCCAATAAATTAGAAATGCACGCGCAAACACACATACACACACATTTTTTGCTATCTCCTGTCCCTTTGTCGAGTATTATGCAAGGTCTTTGGACATGACAAGGTGGAAAGGTACCCCAGAGACGAGGCAATGGGCGCTGTGGCCGGAAATCTGTTTATCATTATTATATTTCCTCTCACCTCCTGTTCCCCTCTGGCCTTCTGACCCTCCTCTGCAGCCCACCCTCCCCACAATGTGTGTTCACTCAGAGCATGATGACCATCGTCCTCCATGCTCAATGGTGAAAAAAAAATAAAAATTACTTCTGGGTCTCCAGAGGGTCTTGAAGGTGGTTAGGTGACTAGGCAATGGTAGTTGAAAAATACTGTGGAGCAAATAAAACAAGATAAATAAATAAATAAAATTCTGCTTTATTGTTTCATAATTCCACAGTTACTGCAATGTTATGTGGATATGCTGTCAATTACAAGTCACATGTATGTTGTTCTCCTCTGAGATCAATATGAGTTGCTGCAGTAGGAGCAGTAAGAGTTCATTCTCCTTCCTTTAGGTGTTTAGAGCCCTTTTAGGTTAGATTTCATTCAACTCAAGAGGATGCTAATTGTTTCAAAGGTGGTCTACCAACCTTGCTGCAAAATCAAATTTAATGAACACTAGCATCTATGCCTTCAAATGAAAAAAAGTGAGTTGATAAACAGGTAGAAAAGCTGTGATTGAGTTTTCTTACTCATCCTTAATGAGGACTACAATTAAAATGTATCACCATGTACTAACTGTCATTGACAGTTCTCAATTAACAAGAATGTCACTTCTTGTTAACGTGGGAGTGTGATTGTATCACTCATGAAAACATCCTTCCTGTGCACAGCAAACAATTTTGTTCATCAACATCTACTTACATAAATAAAGCAAGTGCGGACAAGAGACTGGTGTGTGGATGTTGATTATCAGCCCTCCTGCTGACCTTTGGATCTGTGCGAAGCAGATCTCGCTTGTTTACAATAGGTGGCTGACCTGATGAATCTGTCTTACACAAGCGAAGAGTCAGAGACAAGCGGGAAGGAAAGAATGTGCTCCCAGAGGGCTCAAAGAGCAGTGGCATCTATCAACAGAAGAAATTGAATGGGATGTTTCAGAGCAGCAGAGATTAGATAGGCCCAGGGTGTTGAGCAAGCACAGGTGACCAATGTAATGCTTCCCTCACCGGAGTTAGATCAAACTTACAGAACACAGTGAAGCAAGGACACACACAGACACGTACGCACACACTCTGAGCATCCTACAGTGGCCTTTAGGTTTGAAGTAGAGATGTGATGCTTTGTTATTTGCTCAGGGAGTACACTGAGGGATAATGCTAGATAACACTAGAGATGTGATATTTCCACATTAGCTACGTCAGCTATCGTGATTCCCACTGGAGTGTTAGTATTAACATCTGAGCAAAAGTTCATCAAAAAGGGCTTATAGTGTAGGTTTCGTCAAGCACCATTTGAAATGTCACAACATGTTGCTGTGAAGAAGGTGATATTTGTTTTCAACGGCTAACACATTTTGGTTTCCAAGACGCTAAAACTTTGCCTCGAACATAAAGAACACTCTGAACCATCTAGATATCTTCACATTCCGTTACTTCATCATACATTCATATACAATCAGCCCATCTGCCCTCTAGAGGCCCTTAGAAAAAAGTGCAGTGCCTGATCACAAACTGATCATGCAGTTTTCTTTTCTCTAAAGTATTATGTCTGAACTGTGTGAGGTCATACCATGTCCTTGATTTTCTGATTTCCTTTTGAACATAAAGCAATCCAACATGAATGAATATTAAAAGACAAAAAAAATCGACGTATCAGTGAGGTTCACTGTTGCTCCTCTTTATGCTTTTACCCTCACCTTCCTATAGCTGTGACAGAGGAATGATGGGAGCAGTCGCCCTGTTAAAGAGCAGTTCCACATTTTGCAAAAAATTATTTTTTACAATAGTTGAGAAGATCAATATTACTCACTGGTAAAAATATATGACTACTGGCTAACAGCTAGGTTAGAGAAGCTAACCACAGGTGGATATTTTGTACATTTAGACAGAGCCAGTGTAGCTGTCTCACTCTGTTTCCAGTCTTTATGCTGCTGTTAGCTGTAGCTTCACATTTACCAGACCAATGACACTGACGTTCTCATCTTCATCATCTTCGACAAGAAGGCGAATATGTGTATTTCCCAAAATGTTAATAAAAAAACTTGTTTGAGTGTTCATGCCAGGATCATGTGAGAGAGGAATGTTTGGATGATAAAGAGAGACAGGGGAAAAAGAACCACAAAATGTGGTGCAACATAAAGAAGGAACAGGCAGAAAAGGGGTTAGAGAAAGTAAAAGAGGGGGCGTTTACTACTTGGGGAGGTATAGCAAACCCCTTTCCATCCATCATCCCTGTCTCTGTCCCGTCCACTGAGCAGGAGAGGTAATGAAAGTAATTTAACGTACATCTATAATTAATATGCTCTCTTTGGGCGGTGTGGTTGGGCTGAACGGGTGATGGAGTGTGTTTATTATGTGTGTGTGAGGGAGCTGGCATGACGGGGCACTGGGCCACTGACATGGTAATTCACTAGCCATCACTCCAGCAGTGCTGAGGTCAGATTGGGGCAGCTATATGGGGCACCGCCGGCTTCAACGCTCCCATAGGTACGGATTGGAAAGTGGGTTTTTGTTCTTTCTCGTCTCCTCTCTTTTTCTTTCCTCCTCTCTGAGTCTCCTGGAGGAAGTGGAGAAAGGAGGCGCAGCACGTAGCAGCGCCCCAGGCCAATGTTCTCCCTCTATGTGTCCTGCTCTTTTTCTCTTTCCTTCTCTTTGTCTTTCTTTCTCTTGCCTTCCAGTCCACAACTCCCTCCTCTCTCCTATTCCTCTCTGCTCTCTGGTCGGTTAGTAAATTCCCTTTCTCCCTGTCTGTCTGGCTCCACCGCTTTCTCTTTATTTCTCCTAATATTCTCTCCTCCTCCAAGAAAAGTGAATGCACTTCAGGAATTCTTTTTTTTCTTTTTTTAAAGGCAGACTGCTTTGCACAAACACAGTTCAAACCCAACTGCCCTCAGTGCTGTCTCCTTTTGAAACTCCCTGCTCTTTGAATACCATCCGTTTGAAGAGAATGCCCTCTGCATTTCTTTTTTACGCAGTCACTCAAGTGCGCTCGCACACTCTCTTGCATTTGCACACACACACAAACACACAGGCATATTAGGCTTACGTAGAAATACAATCGCACATGCACAAATGCACACATAACCACATTCACACACGGACTTGCATCAAAATACACAAGGGTGCACCTCACCTACATCAAATTTCAGCAGTGTCATTGATATAGAGAGTGAATTTATTTTCCACTTTGAACTCATACCCCTTCATTTCATCTCTCCCTCTTATTCTCTCCCAGGCTACACTTATATGCATGGCCTTGCTCCAGCTACTGGCCATTCTTCAGTAAAGGTCTAATTCAGGTTAAACAGCTTACATGTATCTTTTATACCGTACAACTGACTATTCTTGTTGCTGTCTTGAATAAAGCAGTTGAAAGGAAGATTCACTCAAATTACAAATTACATAGTTTCCTACCTAGTGGTATCAAGCATGCAGTTTTTGTTTTATTTGCCCTTTTTAGAGGCAATGTCACCATTATAATCCAAAGATTAGTGGTGCAGACTATAGCCACTGTTTGGTTTATTCGTTCTGGGCTACAGAAGAAACATGGTGAACAAAGTGACCCGAGGCATCTGTACATATAAAAGGCTCATTCTAAGGTAACAAAAACACGCTTATTTTCAGGTGATTATACACTAATAAAAACATACCTATCCTATGACTATTATATTCCATTTCTGCCAATAGATTCTCCTAAATGTCACACACTGGACCCTTTAAGATATGCTAAACTTTATCGTTCAATTAAAGTGTCACAGCAGCAGTAGAGCAAGAAACAGATACATAGAATAACTTTAAAAATAAACTGAACTATACTGTGCTGTGAGCACCACAACCAATATCCTATTTACCTCCATTGTATTCGGTGGTGGCAGAAATACTAACTTGTGTATATTAATCCGCAGTTGAAAATAGTCCTCAGAAAATACATTATTTACTCCTGTTTGAGTTTATTTTTGCTAAAAACTACTATGCCCAGGTGTTGTTGGAAATTACAAAGAATAATATGAAAGTATATATTTGATAGTAGTGAATGGGCGTAGGGCTGAGTGCTTACAGATGGAAGGAATGTCAGAAACAGACACGTTAGTTTTGGTTACTTAATGGGATTT